GTATTTTTACAGTGTTTATTTTACAGTTAAAATATCTGTTTATTAAATAAAGTCTAATGTTACAACTAAATGGGGATCCCTTTAAACATATTTGACCAAAGGAAAACCGAAACAGRACTAGAAAGATGAATATGATTTAGATTTWTATTTCTGTGACTKTAYMYAWCCCACAGGAGACACAGCATCAACAGCAGTCGTCATTTCATTCTTTGGCTTTAGCAGCTCCTTTAATTCCACAGCTGACGCTGCTAAAAATGACAGATTTTCTTTTCTGAATCTCTGAGAGCAGGACTTCAATCTCTGAACKCATGAAGTCCTTCTTGTTATTTTTCGCTGTCATTTTCAYGAGTGGACACTTCCTGGTATRAAGGGAAGGAAGTGTAGCCTTATATGTTTTTTTGGGGGGTGGTAATTATGTTAATCTCCTCTYCTCGTGCATGAGCACCTRAATATGAACAGGTGGCATTCATCATGTTTACATTCCTCATTTACACWCTTTTCCTGAAGATRGAAGCGTTTGCTGAATCTGACGTGGCATGTTCATATGAACAAAAGTAAGAGAAATTTAGGATGAGAATTCGAACCTGTTCTTGCATGAGGCCCAATGAATCAAAAGTAGTAAAAGTTTTGCATGTTGTGTACTCATCATCACTAATCTTTATTTTCTTTGTTTCCTCAGGAAAGACCCCTCAGTACTCAGCTCTGTCTCCATGAGAAGTGATCAATCTGCAGGTCATCCCATGAACTTTAAAGACAGACCAGACTCATCTGGAACAAGGTGAAGGTTTTAATTCTATGTCAGCAGATTTGATAGTCCATGGGCTAGAGTGGGTCCCTGCCCCACTCCCCATTTAAACAATCATGCTGATGGTGCCATCAGGAGTCAAAAGGTTTGGCAGAAGATGTTTATCACACAGACCCCAACTATTCAACTTCTTTTACATTTTCATGCACCCTATGATCCATTAGTTAAAAAAAATCATAACAAAAATAATGTTGGTAGTTAATACACCACCTGGACAAATTTGACAGTACCCTCACTTTGTGTGTGCAGATAAGAATTTCAGGGATGCAAATTTTTCAGGTTACATAATCGTTTAATGAAATGTCATTTAAGTTTAAGAACTAAACAGTACCAATCTATTGACACATTGTTTATAAAAATTGGTTGGTTTATAGCAAAGTTATAGACGTTTTAAGTCTCTTGTATTCTTAGGGTCTGAGGGAAACGACACTGGGAAAATGAAATACAAGAAATAAATAAACACAAGACATAAAACCAAAACACAAAGAACCAAGGAACACAGACTTTGACATTTTCTTTTTGTCCTCAGGAAAGACCCCTCAGTACTCACCTCTGTCTCAAAGGAAAGTTACCCATCCATGGGTTATCCTCTAAACATCAAAGATGAGTGAGTCTTTCATTAATAACTAATTACACTTTTCAAGGGTAACTTTTAAACATTTTAACATTTCATGTTTCTCTCTGTTTAGGGTTAACCAGGAGGTGCTGAAAATGCTTGATGGACCATCTGCACACCAGAAACCAACAGAACTAGACCTCGTTTTCAAGGTTCCTGTGACAGAGCACCTTTCACTGCAGACACACACAAATAATAAGATTGTGTTGCTGTAACACCAAGAACTGGAATATGCTTCCAGCTAAGGATGCTACCATTTTTAGGAGAAAATAAACTTTTAATATGCTCTAAAAAATTTTAAAATGAAAAAACTACATAGGACTTTTCTAATTTGCCAAATGCTTCATCGAGACTAAACTAAGTTATTTGCAAGCCACCATAGTGTGTTGATGTTGACATCCTGTAATAACAGTGTAGGAAGAAAATAGCAGCTTCTGCTGACAAAATGTGTACACCAACAAAGCAAAGTGTGTTCATACTCGTCTTTGTGACTTGGAACATTTCACAGGCTGTCATTGGTTGAGAGGTTTTGTTTACAAAACAAATTTCCATGTTTTCCTGGCTTTAAGACATATCATGTTGATGTGATGTTGCAGTTTGGTGACATGAGCCTTGTAACATTATTTTATAACGTCCTGATTCATCTCAGTAATCCAGGTAAAAAATCAAAAGGAAAAAAAAAATTGAATAGGTCCTCTGGACGGGTTCTTCTTTAATGAAACGTTTCGTCTCTCTTCCAAGAGACTTCTTCAGTCTGAGAGTTTCAGGCAAAATTCAGGCTGTTAACAACAACAACACCCCCTGTTAACAATAGGTATTAATTAGGTGTGAACGATAGCCATGTGATGTGAGTATCAGTCACCTGTGAACGAT